ATACATTTATAAAAGAGTTTGTTTTTAAACAGTTTTTTCTAATAGTGTTTTTATGTTAATAGCTGATGGTTGCTGTGTATGGCACAAAACTTTAAGTTTATATATATATATATATATATATATATATATATATATATATATATATATATATATATATATATATATATATATATATATATATATATATATATATATATATATATATATATATATATATATATAAATATAATAATAATAATAATAATAATAATAATAATAATAGTTAGAGATTTAAGTGGCATAATTCGACAACAATCATTAATATGATGAAGTGATTCAGAAGCACTAATAAACAAGCATTGTTTAGGATGAGTAAGCAACTTTGAGAACTTTAGTTTTTAGTCTTTTTTTAAATGTTTCTAATGACGTTGCATCACACATTTTTTTACTTAAATTGTTCCAAGTTTGTCGTGCAGATATGTAGAAAGATTTTGTACCAAACGATGTTCTTGCTCGACGACATACAAGTTGACAACTGTCTGACGATCTTGTGTTGGGGAGCTGGGAGGTTTGAATTTTAAAGAAATTGAAAAGGTATGCAGGAGACTTGATTGATATAGTTTTATAAATTGTGACAGACATTTTTTAAATTATTTGACGTATTGGTAACCAATACGTCAAAGAATAATTTAAAAAATTGAAGCATATTTTGAGTGACAAACAACAAAAGCTAACTTATTTTGAATACATTGAAGTTTGCTTGGATTTTTTTGAGAAGTTCCAGATAGAAGACTGTTACAGTAATCAAGTTGAGAGTTTACAATTCCACAGGCAATTATTTTTGCATTACTTTTGGTAAGAAATGGACGAATATAATGAAATGCGCGAATATGGTAGTTGCAGGATTTTATAATATTCTTTATGTGCTGGTTCTATAGAGAGTGTTGAATCTTAGGTAATACCGAGAATTTTTACCAAATTAGGTAATACCGAGAATTTTTACCAAATTTGATATAGCAAGAGTTGCACCTGAGAATAAACATTAAGTTTCATCTTTAAATTTAAATGTTTGATTACTAGTTTCAAATAAGATAGCTTCTGTTTTTTTCAAGAAACCATATGGTGACTAAATTTGCACATTGAGCTATATTGTTTATGTGGTCTATCCCTAGTCTGATGGCGGTATACAGTTGAGTATCATCAGCATATTGATGGTAGTTATATCCAAGATTAGTGATTTAAATGCAATTTACGGGAGACACAAACATGGAAAAAAGAAACAGGCCAATAACACTACCTAGTGGTACTCCGGTTGGAATATCTGAGATTGATGATTTTGCTGTTCCAATAGAAACAAAAATTTTTCGATTATAAAGCCATTCCATTGCAGTTCCTGTGATACCAATTTCGTTTTTTGCACATTCTGTTGATAGTTTGTGATCAAAGGCTGCTGATATGTCTAGAGAGAAAAGGACAGTAGTTGACACATTATCAATGTTTGACAGGATGTCATATATATATATATATATGTATAAGTAAATATATGTCATATATATATATATATATATATATATATATATATATATATATATATATATATATATATATATATATATATATATATATATATATATATATATATATATATATATATATATATATATACATACATATATATATATATATATATATATATATATATATATATATATATATATATATGTATATATATATTTATATATATATATATATTTATATATATATATATATATATATATATATATATATATATATATATATATATATATATATATATGTATATATATATATATATATATATATATATATATATATATATATATATATATATATATGTATATATATATATACACATTAGGGTGACCATTATTTTTGAAGACACAGATGCAGAAGGCCCAAGAAAGTAATTTCATTTTAACTCTAGACGACCTGTTCGATGTGGCGCATGCTGACGCCCTCAAAATGATGATGATTGTAGAGGACAAAAAGTTTTTAATAGGATAGAAAGAAAAACGCAGGCAAGGATCAATGGCAGGTGTCAATAAGAAGCTTGCTGCAAAAGAAAGGAGGGCAGTAGAAAGACATGATAAAGCAGTGGCCAGTCATCAACGTTGAATGAATTGTTTGAAGTGAACAGTGAGATTGAAGTTTTTGGTGTCATCAACCAGTGGCTTGGATAATGACAGTGATTAAACAGAAGCAGCACTGGAGGGCAGTGAAGAAAAAGCACTTACAGAAACTCCAGCTTGCCACAAAAGAGATAGATATAGATAGATAAAAGAGATAGTTGTCATTTCACAACTTGCAGCTGCCTTAAACCGAATGAAGGTTTCAAACCGTGAAGCAGTTTTTGTTATTGCAGAAACAATCAAGAGCATTGATCAAAGCCTTGATAACTACATGTTGAACATGGAATCTATTGGACTACAGTGGCGGACACATCAGCCAAGCTGAAGGATAAGTTCAAAGGAGATTCAAAGAAAAGTGCAGAATGCCTCTTTAAAAGCAAATTATCAGGCGCTACCATTTCCTTAGACCAAAAATCAAAGGAAGAAAGGAGCGAATAGTGGAAATTTCCAAAGAGGTCACCAAATTGTGGAAAAATAAACTGAATTTTCCTCATGTATCTGATCAAGTTATACAAGCAAAGCTTGATAAAATACTGAAATGTTATGATGAATGTGTCAAGTGGGAAAGCTATGAACCCCTTGATGAAGTTATTGATATTACTAAAGTGGATGAAACATGGTTATCTTCTGAGGACAAGCAATTGTACCATCTCTAAGTAGAAAGCAAAGGAACAGTGGGATACTCTACAGGCCAATCGGCCAGTAAAGAAACGATCCATCCCTCTAAAAGACAAAAGTTTCTAATGATTCATTCAACTCATCATCTTACTATCCTGGTTTTAGTGATTCTGACTCTGAGGCTGACGATAGTGAGTATGAAAACAATGAAGAAGAAGATGAGGGAACTCTTACACCAAGCAGAAAACATCATAAAAGCAAAATTGGATTCAAATTGGTGACCTCCACAAGAGTATCAACAAACAAAGCTGCTAACATATGCAAGCAATAAGCTCGTGAAGGCATTGACATCCCAACTCCATGTCAATCAGCTGTTTACTATTCAACAATCAAATAGGCAATCAAGCTGAAAGAAGAAATGATTGAAAAGTTGCATATGGAAAGTTGGTCCTTACGCTTTGATGGCAAGTACATCAACAGAACGGATTATTAAGTGGTTGTTCTTATAAATAAAAGAAGAGAAATCAAATGTCCTTGGCTTGGTAGATGGCAAGACTTTAACTATTGCTCAAGGAATTTTTAAAGTCTTGATAAATTTCACCTATAATATTCAATACAGATGATTGTTGCAGATACCACCAGGGTTAACACTGGAAAAAAGAAATGGTGTTGTTGTAATATTGCAATGAATGTTCACAGAGAAACACATCAACAAACCTCAGTTTATAAGTTGTCAACACCATGTATTAGATAGAATCCTCTATTTGGTGATGAATGAAGAACTTAGAAGTAAAACACAATCGCCAAACATCAAATATTCATTTATATCTCAACTGTTGAAGATGTACAAACAACTGAAAACACACTTTGATAATGAAGCAGAAGTAATTCTTAAAACATCAGGCTGGAGAGATGGTATAAAATTTTTGTTTTATCTCACTAGAGTGTTTCAATTTTTTAAGGAAAAGGGATATTTTATTGATCATGTGACATTCTATTGATCAGGTTTCAGAAAATACTTCAGCAATCCAAGATACTCCAGAGTTATACTAGTGATCCTGCCCTTCATTTTAGTTCCTTCAACAAGAAAGTAATCAATGCGCAGAGCATACAATCAAAGTAATGGAGGAAATTTATTCATCATGCAAAAATAAAGACAAATTGCACTTTCAGTTCCTTCTGTGCAACAAGCAAGAGCAAGGTCAATGGTCTGAGTCATTTTTGGGTTGAAAATTTATTGTATTACATGACTATGACATTCTAAATACATTTAAATACAAAGTAGTACTTATGTTCGATCTTTCAATGGCGGGTTAAGTTTTTTTGAAAAGATATGCAAATAATAGTTCATTTTGTGCTTTTTAGGTAAAAGTTCATCAAACTACAGTACAGGAGCATGGGATTGATAAAAAAATCATAACCCTAATAAGTATATATATATATATATATATATATATATATATATATATATATATATATATATATATATATATATATATATATATATATATATATATATATATATATATATATATATATATATATATATATATATATAACCCTAATAAGTATATATATATATATATATATATATATATAACCCTAATAAGTATATATATATATATATATATATATAACCCTAATAAGTATATATATATATATATATATATATATATATATATATATATATATATATATATATATATATATATATATATATATATATATATATATATATATATATATATATATATATATATATATATCAACCCCATAACTAAAAAGTTAGTCGGGTATTTTAAGTTAACTAAATATTAGTCAACTAATTTTGGTTTGACTAAAAAGTTAGTCGGGTATTTTGAGTTAACTAAAAACTTAGTCGACTAATTTTAGTTAACTAAAAAGTTAGTCTGGTAATTTTAGTTAACTAAAAAGTTAGTAGACTAATTTTAGTCAACCAAAAAGTTATTTATTTAATTTATGTTAAACTAAAAAGTTATTCAGGTTTTAATTTTAATTTTAATTAACTAAAAAAAATGGCAAAACATTTTTATTTTTTTGGATTCAAGTCATCATTTTAAAAACTAATTTCTGCAGAATATAATAGTGCTGACTTTAACCTGTAGTAGTAAATTAATAAATGAAATTATTTATCAATGTATCACCTATAAATATATTATTATTTTTCTATTGTTATTATTACTATTATTATTGCAGTAATTGCTTTTTATTTAGTCAGAGAATCGAGAATGGAAAAACCAAGATTCAAATTTTGACAACATTATTGTTGCATTGTTCACACTTTATATATGCTCAACTGAGGATAATTGGCCAGAGTGAGTAAAAATGTATATATATAAAATAAAATTGTATGTGATGTCTTGATCATTTTTCATTTATATTTTTAGCCTCCTGTACAAAATAATAAATTCGATGGGTATGAGTATTGGACCATTGGAAAATAACAAACCTTACATAGCAATATACTTTGTAATTTTTATTGTGTTATTTACTTGTATAATTATTAATATTTATATTGCATTTGTTATACTGACCTTTCAAAAGCATGGCGAGAAAGAGATATTATGTGGATTGGATCGAAACCAAGTAAGTTCACTCATTTTAAAAAGATTTATATTGTTTTAATAGATTTGTATAATATCAAAAGATTTACATTATTTGAAAGAGGAAATATAAAGTTAAAATGTTAAGATTTTTTTGTTTTTTTATTTCTTGAGCAAATATAATAATTAATATAATAGTTGTCATTATATATTTTTCATTAATTATCATGGTCATATAAAAGTTGTCATGGTCATATAAAAGTTGTTATTGTTTTTAATTTTGAAACTGAAGTTTTTAAATAAACTTGAAATTGAATATTTAATTTAAGTTAATTAAGAAATAAATTAAGCTATTTGAAGACCATTGAATGTCTTCTGGACAGTCCATGGTAGGTTAGTGAAATCTGGGTGGATGTAGTCCGATTTTTTATTAACAGATTTTTAATCCATTAAAGGCTTTTTAATTAATGATTAGCATTTGCTCCATATTGTTGCAGTTTTCAATTCATGCCTCACACTGGCCTCTGACTAAAATAAACTTTTCTAAACATACAGTATGGAGTTGCCATACTTTTTCTTTTTTTAAATGTTGTTTTTTTGACTATGTTGTGTTTTCCAGCTTTATTATTCTAATGCTATAGAATCTTCACTTAGAAGTCAACTATAAATATAACTTAAGAATAAATAAAAGAGAAAAAATATTTTAGATGTTTCATTCAACTATGTTGCAATTTTAAAAAATGTTGAAAAAATTTTATTTAATAAAATCTTCAAAGTATTAGTAGTAGTATATATTTGTTACAACAAAAGTAAAAATAATTGAAAAAATACAATCGTAGATTACAATTAATTTTTATGAAGCTTATAGTGCAACTTTCACTCAGGAAAGCTGTAATAACATTGGAGCTTATCAAGGCTCACTTTGATGTTTTTGACAGTCAGAGAATCGATTGCTTTATCTGGTACAATTTTCCATGCATTGACGATGCAGTTGTTAAAAAAGTTAAAATAAGCTAAATCGTTGCTATATTTTTCACAGTAAAGTCTCACTTTGTGATTTGCTCTTGGTAGAATTGTGATAAAAGGAAAGTGCCAGTTGACTATGTTGGTGTTATATCAATCACATATATTTGAATGAGGTCACCTCGTTTATAATAGTCAACTAGAGAAGTTAGGCCAAGTTAAACATCTGGACTTGCAGTCTAGCTTTTTCAGTTTGTCTGGTATCTTAGCTCAATAATTTTTCATCCTTCACCAAATGAGGTTCCAAGCTGGAACTGTGAACTTAAGTAATGGACAGGCCTAGGTAGAGTAGAAATGCTTCCATAAAGAAGCATCACGAAATTTGAAAGTGTGTTTTAGGATGCCTAGCATTTGATTTGCTTTACATGACATAATGATGGACTGGGTTTCTGCCTTTTGATCATTGGTAATTTGTATTCCTAAGTCATGTTCAGAGGTGGTTGCTTTCAATAAAGTTTGAGTTATTATTGAACAAGGGCCTAATTCCTCCATTGAGTACTCAAAGCGAATTAAATATTTTTAGCCAAAGTGCATGACTTTACATTTCTTCACATTTAGCTGCATAAGCCAAGACTTTGTCCAATAAACAATTTGGTCAATATCTAATTGGAGTTAAAGTTGAGCAGCTAGTGAGTTGACAATGCTCAGAATTTTAATGTCATCCGCATAGATCTTACAACTGTTTTCTTTGCTTATTACATCTGGCAGATTGTTGATGAAAATAAAAAATAAAATTGGTCCCAAGACTGATCCTTGGGGAACCCCACTTGTCACAGGTAACCAATTTGGTTGGGTGTCACCAAGGATAACTTGTTGAGACCTGTTGAGTAAAAAAGCTTTTATCCCATTGAGAAGATTACCTTCAATTCCATACATTTTTAGTTTATAAAGCATTTGCTGATGTGGCACTTTGTCAAATGCTTTGGCAAAATCCAGGAAAATGACATCAACCGGTAGTTTTCTGGCAATATTTCCAATCAAGAAGTTTGTTATTTCAAGGAGATCTGTAATGCATGCTTTTTTCTCTAAAAATCCATGTTGACTATTTGATAGAAGATTCTTTGATTTTAAATGCTGCATGACTGCTTTCTTAACTAGTTTCTCTATTATTTTACACGGAATCGAGGTGAGGGGTATTGGTTTGTGTTTGATGGGCTGATTTTAGAGCCCTTCTTAAATAAAGGCGTTACATTTGCTTTGGACCATGAACTTGGATCTTCACCAATTTTAAATGATGTTATGTTACATAACATATTAAATAATGTTAACATGTTAAATGATGTTGTTTTACATAACTAATTGTTATAGAAGCATTTCACAAAATGATTGCTTAATGTAGGGGAAGTTGGGGTACAGTGGATTGAGGGGCACAGTGAATAAGAGGCATTTTCTTAAAGAATAGAATTTTGTTCATCTTGATAATGTAATCATTTTATGTGCTCATATATCAGCCATCTTTGTTTATAGTTGTTACCACATTATTTTTAAGTACCGGTTTTTGGTTTGTAATTTTTATTTTTAGCTAAAGTAAATTTTCTTATCTTCCTAATGTTTCTTATGGAGATCATGGTTGAAATAATTTTAAATGTTGAAGTTTTTCATTCGGATTATTGATATTTAAGCTTTCTTTTAGTAGTTTAGCTATTCTTTTAACAACAATTGTGATCCAAGAAATTAGACTTAAACTTAATTTGTTATAGTGGGGCACAGTGAATTGGGGTACAGTAATTAGATTGGTTCACTATACTCCATTAATGATGTTAAAGATTAAATTCATGCATTTTTAATAGAGAAACTACATGAAAATGAATTTATTAGTTTTATGAATAATAATATTTGAATAGTTTTTTAATACTTTTATAAATTTTGTTATCAATAAAAATCTTTTTTTATTGTCAGTTTTTAAAATGTCATTCGATTATATACTTATCTAATTATTCAAAGTATGCCAAAAATATAGTGTACAATGTCTTTACTCCCTCAGCCTCATAGTTATTTGGCTATGTCCTTATTCACTATCATTAATTCACAGCTGTGTCCATTGATTCACTGTGTCCCAGTAGTAGGGCACAGTGAATAATGTAACACAACTCACTTTAAACCTTTCTGGGAGTCGTTAGATAATAAATGTTTTATAAATTTATTATCATGAAGGACATGTATCTCAATCCTTTTGCCTTGAAAAAGATAAAATATATATTTTACCTTTTGCTCAATTTAAAAAATAAAGAAATTTACTGTGCCCCAACCTCCCCAACTTGCCTTGAGTTTCTTATTTCTACACATATTACTATTTTATATATAACTATAGTTAAAACAATTTGATCTAACAGACAACAAATAATGCGTGCTGTGACACAACCTTGTCATAAATGAAACAAAAATGCCCACAGCATAGTTAACATATGCAATTCAATGAAGCACGTCAAAAGTTTTGTTAAATATTGAGCAGCTAATTATTCGGTATTTTGGCCAAATATTCGGTATTTGTTATTAGGCTAAATCACTTTTAATGACATCTCTAAGTTTTTAATTTTTAAGTAAATTAATTTTAAAATTTAACTTTAACTTTTCATAAAAGTTTTCACAAAAAAACAATGCCAATAAATTGAAAAGTGGAACAATGCTAATAAATTGAAAGCGGAAACGTGGAAAGCTGATATATTCAGTAATAATTCTAATTTTATCGTTACCTTAAAGTGAATTATTAAATCTTAATTAACAAGGTGGTAGACTCATGGTAGATCTTATGTGTCATTTGTTGTTGTAAAATTTATAAAGAAATACTGAAATAATACAAAATTTAATATGAGTTCATAGAGAATAAAGAACTAATACTTTAGCAAGGCTCTACATCATAAAACAAATTAAATCATTGATAGCAGACTGTATTACATAGAGTATTGAATCACCAAAAATGTTATTGTAAATAATATTCAACTTACAAATTGTTTCCAACTTGGTCATAAGTTTAGAAATATTTTTACTGAAAATATTTTTCAAACAAAAAATTCTTGTACTTACAAAAAGCTAATGAATAAACAACAAAACACAAAAATAACTACTCCTAATACTAAAAATAACAATAGCACCAATAATACCATCATCTAACTGTGAGATAGAATTCACCTTTACTGAACAAAATTAATTACTTATCACATATAGAAGATTTAAGGAACATTTTTTAATACAATAACTTGAGGATTGTAGTTCCAACGGTGACAATAATTTTGATTTGCTATGGATGCTTATATTGCATAACAACAAGATAATATACTTAGTTACATAGAGTGAAAATAGATTTTTGACTAAATTTTTATCTGATTTTTAAGCCGCTAATTTTGATTAGCAATTTGACATTTAAATAACTAATGTCTTAGCAATAATAAAAAACAAAAAATGCAAGAAAATAATTTGAAATTACACCAACAATTTATAAAATTCTTGTTTTATAAAACTGAATATAAAGGTTTGAATAATTCCAAGAAATTCAGCTGTTTGTTCATATTTATGATTTCAAGTATGTCTTAAAGTAAAGCCATACACGGCGGTTATTTTTGATAAATTTTCTCCTACTTGTGATTTACATGAATTTAAAAAATTATTAAGTTACAGATGTAACAAAAACATATTTACTTCTTCTGTTTTAAAAATTACAGAAGTAATTAATTTTTTTTTAAAATTATTTAATTTAATTTTGCATCACTTTTGTATTACTAGTTGAAAAAAAAGTTTTAAAAGAAAAAAAAAAGTAAAAAGTAAAAAGAAGATTGTAAAAAGTCATTTTCTTTTGAAATAACTAATGTTTGCACACGTAATATAACTTTGTAAACACATCTAATTTGTTTATATAAAAAGAAAACTCATGAAAATTAAATATATATGGAATGAACTAAAAATGAAGGACTAGTTTAGGGTTAAGTTACACTGGAGAAACTTAAATATAAATATTTTATTTACAATAAACTATATTTACAAGTGTTATATGAATGAAACAAACAATAAACTATATACACATAAATTAAAACAATTTTATTACATTATATACATAACCTTAATACAAACATGAGATAAAAATAACTGTATATAAAACTAAAATTTAAAAATAAGAACATTCACACTATACATACAGTTTCTAATAGTTGTATGTAGTTTAGTGTGCAGTGAAAGTATAAATAGTTGTATGTAGGTTAGTGTGCAGTGATAAAAAGTGGAATATTGATATTTAATAGCAACAAACATAAATAATTAAATTTACTTATATTGAATTTAGGCAATAGACTTTTTGCCAGATAAGGATCCCATGAATATGTGATGCATAGTAATACTACATAAAAGAACCATGCTAAGTAAGCAAAAATATAAGTGTATTTTACCATGTGTTTCAATTTGCTTTAGATGCCATTTTCACAATTTCTCAGTATTACAATCTTTTTTTCCATCAATAAAATTCATTGAACAATGATGATGACTTTAGTCAAAGGTATATAATAAGATTAACACAATGACTTTTAGACTGAATCGCGTTATATGCTTTTGTCATTTACTTATAGTATTACTTATACTAATAATATAATACTTTAAGAAAATGTCAAAAGCATATAATATGATTCAGACAAAATAAAGTAAAATACTATAATGATGGTAATAATGATAATAATAATAATAATAATAATAATAATAATAATAATAATAATAACAGTATTTATTATTAATATTATAATAATAGTATAATAAGTAAAATAACTATAAGTTTTATTGTTACCCCAGAAACATAAACTATCAATGTTTCTGGAGTAATTTTCTTCATTCGTTTCTGGAGTAATTTCCCCCAGTTAGAATTATTCATGCGTATATGTTAGGTAATTTAATAAGTTAAAAAGAATATATAAACACTTAACAAATTAAAATTTAATGTATTCATTAAATACTCTAACTCTGTTTAAAATATATTATGTAAACAAACTTTATTTTATAAATTTATGAACTAAATTTTTTTTGTCTTATTATCAATAATTATTAAATATAGTATGCAAAAACTAAGTACATATATATACATTTAATGTTTTTGAATCAGTAAAAAATTTAGTTGAATAAAAAAATTGTTATCAAATCGTAAAACATGACAGAAATATTATGCAAAAGCTGTTTAAAATAAATTTTTTGAATACTTTATATTAACAAAATTTCACTTTCTTCTTTATCAAATGTATAATATAATATATATGGTATACACTTACGATATAATGCCAATAGAATTTTGAGATTTTGTTGGTCAGTAGAATTTTGAGATTTTGATGTTAACCATTAGCATTTTGAGGTTTTGATGATGGCCAATTTATTGGATGAATGAGATTTAAGCAAGTACCTGACTTGCTTAAATCTCATTTGTGTTACTTTTTAGTTTTATTAGAAGCATCATATTTAATTTGTAGTTTGTTCATTGTCTACTTTCTGACAATTATGTACTTCTAAGCCAATTAACTAACTTTGTTTCCTAACTTTTGATAGTATTGTCAACAAATTTTCATTTGCTTAGATTAAAGGTAAACAGCTGAACAACATGTTAAAGAAACAACATTATCTTCAGATGATGTTTCAACATTTAGTTTGAATATATATTTTTTGGAAATACAAAGTTTTTCTTTGAAAAAATTGTCTGTAAAAAAAAAAAAAAAATTTTATGAAAGTTTAAAACAATTTTTTTTTCTTTTTTCTACATTTTTTATTTGACAGGTTAATGTTGTAAATTTTTAATTGGTTAAAATATACAATAAACCAGATTGGGACTTAAGAGGACAAGCAATCAATAGAAATTCTTTAGCTCATATACATGTTAGACATGACATTGTGTCATTCATAAGTAATAGTCCAGCAAACATTTATTAATTTTTTTTAAACCATGTGCAATCTATAAAATGAGTTGAACAAGTAAAAAAAGATACAAATAATATTTTTTAAATATTTTTTAAAGAAACTAATGAAAAAAATAAATAAATGATTTCAATTTTAATCTAAAATTTTTTTTTTTTAGTGTGATTGTTTGCACTTTGTTCTTAATGCTAACCCCCAGAAAAGTATTAATCCTAAAGACAAATCATCACTTTCATATCAAGTGTGTGTTGTTGTAGAATCAAAACAATTTGAATATTTTATTATGTCAGTTATAGTGATGAACTGCATACAGTTGATGATGAAGGTAAAAAACATTTCTTTAGGCAACTAACCTAAGAAACTTTTTGTTTTTATTACAATTTTATCTTTTTTCTTTTTTTTTTGTGTTTTTTAACAAAACTTTATTTTTCTTGTTTACTAAAGTTTTTTTGGAAAGATCCAATAACTAATAATATTTAATCATATATTAAATAAATAGTATTAAATAATAAACAATCCAATAAATAATAATATTTTCTTATATATTTATTATTTTTTTCATAACAAACTGCACTATATGTATGATTTGTTTATTCTTATATTGCCAGCTTTCATCTTAATCAACTAAATCTAGATTTTGATTATTGCCAAATGTTTTTTTTTAGATGTGATCTATATTAATTAAAACTTTAATTTAAGTTTTACTTTTTTGTTTGATTCATTTATTAATTTATTTTGTAAAAAAATAAAAAACCAAAACCTTTTTTCACATTAAAAAAATATTTACTTATTTTGTCTCTGTCATCCATTATACTAGAAATATATTAGATGATATAGATGTTGCTAGTCTTGCCTAGATATCACTTGTCTTGCCTTGTATTTTGTGCCTCAGTATTCTCATACATTGTCTTTGTTTAATCTTATCCATTACAAATCTATTTAATGAAAACTTTTATTAAAACTGGTAGCTGATAGTTTGCTGATTAGAACTAATTTAAACATATATTTATATTTTTACATTAATATGTATTACTTATTATTTTTGTTATATAAATAACAACTTAACAAAAATAAAATAAATGTAACTGATAAAATATGTATAAAATGTATTATTTAATTATTTGAGTTTCGTAAAACTAATGTGTTTATTTGTTTCTTTATTTAAAAAGTCAGAAATTATATTCTTTCTAATAAATAATTTTGCACATTAAGATCATCAAACAAGATCATCACAAAATCACTTTATATTTTAAAAATTTCTTTAGTATAATGGAATGTCAGAGAATTATAAGAATTCATTGATATACTTGAACATATTATTTTCATTCATATTTTGCTTGGAATCCATTATGAAAATTATTGCATATAGATTGGTGAGTTTATTAAAATATTTGTATTGTTTCTTTGTTTGATTTCTGATTAAAATTATCGAACTTTTGTATGAAAAAATGTTTGTATAAAATTTAACATCCAAAATATTTTTTGTTTTTTGTTCTTAATTAGCATTACTTTAAAGATTTTTGGAATTTATTTGATTTGGCAGTTATATTTGGTAGTTTGATGGATTTCCTATTAACATATGTAAGTTGACATTGCTATTTTGTTGGTTGTTACATATTATGTATTACTCACACTGTATTTATATATATATATATATATATATATATATATATATATATATATATATATATATATATATATATATATATATATATATATATATATATTTATCTGTGTGTGTGTGTGTGTGCAAATTAAATATAAATATACTAGCAATGTATATATATATATATATATATATATATATATATATATATATATATATATATATATATATATATATATATATATATATATTTATATATATATATATTTATATATATATATTTATATATATATATTTATATATATATATATATACATAGTTTGTGCGGCAAAGGAATGCTGCTGTATTAACTAACACACTATATATATATATATTTATATATACATGCATACATTTTATATACAGTCTTTTAACCAAACTATTATTTTGGTACAATAACCATAACCAACCAATTTGAGTTGAAGCAGGTGGTGAGACACCCTATCAAATGCCTTATAAAATTCAAGAGAACCAGCAAAGCTGCCCATGCATCAATAAGCATTTCAGTAATAATATCTAGCACCTCTAGAAGATTAGTTACACGTGGTTTTAGTTTTACAAATCCATGTTGATGTGGCAACAAGAGACTGTTTAAAAGCAGATGATCAGCCATCATATCACGTACAATTTTCTCCATTAATTTGCTAAATTTAGAGGTCAAAGAGATTTTTTAAATATTGGTGTTTCCAAATATAAGGAACTGACTCAAATGAATTTATAAACAAAAGTGAAAGCAGTACTCTAAAACTTCTGCTACAGTTTTTCAATACAATTGCATGAATACCATCAATAATAGTACCTTTTGTAATATCTAACTTTTGTAATATCTAACTTTTTTAATATCTAACTTAAAGTAATTTAATTTTCTGTTAGATAGTAATCTAACAGTAATTTAATTTTCTTTGGATTAAAAAGCGGTCCAAGATTTGGTTTGCAGCAGGCTTTAGTACAAAGATTAAAGTTCGGTTAAATTAGTGTTTTTATTAAATCATATATTTATATATATTTTACATTATATATATTTTATATGTAAGTATTATAGTATATATAGTTTGTAATTATTATAATATTATATTAATTAAATTGTCTAACGTATATTTTTACAATTTTTTCGTTTTTGCTATTGTAAATCAAAAAAGGTTGGGCTATTCATTTCTACAGGTAGAAACTAATACCTCAATAATAAATATTGTTTCTACCAGTCTCAATAAACCTCAATAAACAAATTTGAGTGAGAGTCTTAGTAGCTGGAGATTTTGAAAGAAACCAAAATTATTTTAGAAGACACATGGAACCAGAGCCATTACAAATTAACTAGTTTCTTGGTTTTATATTAATTCATTAGTTATGTAGTTCTGTCAATTGAAATAAAAAGTTTGTTTTTTATTACATTTAGAAGTTAAATGTTTATCACTAAATGCATTTAGTTTAAACTAATTTAATACTAAAAAGCTACAAGCAACAACTATAAGGTTGGGAACCACTATGAGTTAGGAACCACTTATGAGGTTGGGAACCACTATGAGGTTAGGAATTACTAGAAAACAAAGAATAGCGTTAAAGTGCAAGATAATGGTTGACAGAAGACTTGAAAAGTTGAAGATTGCATGAATAAGGAAAGCATGAAGTTCCAAAGCATTAAAGTGTGGTAAAAAAACTAGAAGAATATAAGGTTTTAAAGCATGAAGGGACAGATATAGTTGAAGGATGAAACTTGGTTAGATGACAAGCCAAGCCAGAATGAGTTTTAGTTGATGGCATTAGAAATCATAGCTTGTTTGATCAGTGACCATGATAGTATTTGTAGAAAACAAAAGTGATGCAATCTTATGATGCCAGAAGGGTGGCTTAAGTTTTACAGATAGACTAGGTCTAGACTATGTTTAAAGAGAGACTATGAAGACTAGACTATATAAGACTAGACTATGTTTAAAGCACATTTTTTAGATCTTTTCTAGAAGAGAAAGAGCATTGTTAGAAGAGTTAGCCTGAATATAACAACATTATTCATACAGGGAAAAATAAAAAATTTGTCGAGATAGAGAATGAAATCAAAAGTAAGAAAATAGCAAACACAATAAAGAAAGCAACTTTAGCAGATAATAACTTAGCAATCAATTGTATATATGGTTTCCATGAGGAGTTGGTAGTGAATAATAATTCAAAAAGATATAAAAGAGAAGACTTAGTTAAGAGGGCTGCTTTAATCAGTATAAAAATGTTAACTGTTGTGATAGTTGTTTGCAGTAAATAGTTAAGTTTTTTTTGAGTTGAAATTCACAAACCACTGCAATCCCCAAACTGTTACAAAAGAGAGATAAGATTTAAGGTTGGCTGCCAGTTCTAAGCAATCAAAAAGTAAAGACTTTTTATCAAGACAGGAGTACTTTATACTCCTGTATCAGCAAATAAAGCCACTTTTTATGTGAGATTGTCAGGAAAATCATTGATGTAGATTCATAAACATACATTTAGAACATACAGGTGAGCTAATACTGCACCAAAAATTCAGACAGAACACAAAAATACATACAGCAACTTACAGGTTGCGTTGGATTACATGTTACCATGGCTACATGTTACCAGTAGCAGAGTAATCATGATGATCATATGATCAAAGTGATCATAATGACCTGAAAAAATTTCTACTAACAATTTCTTTGAGTTTTTAAGTAACAAACTTTTAATATCCCATTTTTAGTCCAGCTCGTTCCACTGCTAAAAATACCATCCATGATAAGAATATGATAAGAATATCAAAAATATTCCAATAATCAATAATAATAATCAACAACTGAGATTTGTTTGAGTTAAGATATGTATGATAGATATTACATTCTATTGCTGACTTGGTAACCCTTAGTAACCTTGTAGCCCTAGTAATCTTTTATTGAGCATTAAATTGAAGAAAGGAAGCAATGTAAAGTAAGTTCTTGACATATCAAAATGTTTTAATCAAGTTTGGAATGCTGATCTTTATCATAATCTCTCTTTTTATTTTTAATCTTATCTCTCTTTATAATAATCTTTATCTTTATCTCTTTTTTTATGGTGTATCATGGGAAATATATATTTTATGGTGTATCATGGGAAATATATATTTTATGGTGTATCATGGGAAATATATATTTTATGGTGTATCATGGGAAATATATATTTTATGGTGTATCATGGGAAATATATTTTATTGTGTTTGGTGGGAAAGTTTTAAAATTATTGAATTGTTCTTTTCTAATCAGAGTATAGAAGTTGTTTTTGAAAGACAACTTCTTCTTCAACAACTTCTTCATTCCATTTCCAGTAACCTCTAGAGTATTAAATTGTTCTGGTCCTGTGTTATTTTTCATCTATGTTAATGATATTAATAAAAATGTGTCATCTCTTCTGTGAAAGCTTGATGTTAATTGTCTTATTATCACCTCATCATCATCTTATCATCTGCTAGCGTTGACTCTCTCTTATCGTGCTTGCCATTTTCTCACTTGCAATTTTATTCTTTACCTTAATAGATCTTTTATTCTTTCTATGGAATACTATTTTGTTTAGTTTTTAACTAAAAGTAAAATTTTGTGTGGCTATTAAGTGAGCAAAATTTCTTTTTACTAAAAAAACCAAAATTTCTTTTTAAAAAACAAAATTTCTTTTTACAAAACTTCTTTTCACTGAATTAAAACGCTACAAACTTTTTACTGTTCTTTTGTGCTCTAAAATGTTTTATCTAGATTTTTCTTCAAACATCGATTTGTATAACTAATCATCATTTTCATGATTTTTTGACTTAATTTTCAGTTGACAGTTTTTGTTAAGTCTTTTGTCAACTTCTTTTATCAATTCATTTGGTCAACTAAGTTTTTTCTCTTTGAATCTTCTCTTTACATTTTAGTAACTACCAATTTCAATAGTAGTTGCCTCAGTGTTGTTTTAATAATAGTGTTGTTGGAAGCAAACTTGTGTTAAAAAAAAACTACCTTTAAAAAATTAATTGTACTACAAAATAATTATGCTTAATATTTTTACATTAAACAGCAAAATAATTATGTTTAACATATTTATATATTATACAAGAAAATAATTATGTTTAACATTATTTAGCAAAAAAAAAATTTATGTCAAATAATTCTTTAAAAACAACAATAATGAATATAAATAAACATTTAAATGACATTTCAAAAATTGTAGTTTAAATATAAAACATATAATTAATATAATACATAGTAATGATTAAAATAGTATTTCATTTATGATTATGCGTATAACTATGCATGACTTTGTAATTAATAATAATTATGCATTGTTGTATAATTGATAAATAAGATTGTAATTATGTAATATAAATAATGAAAAAAATTGTTGTTTTAAAGTCTATCAACTATTTTGATGAAAATATTTTTTATATTACTTTTCAATGCTTAATATTTCATTTTTATTAAATGAAATATTAAACATTTAAATTTTAAGAACTTATTAATGGTTGCAATTAAAATAATTAAGAAACTAAATGATTGCAAATATATAAAAAAAAACAATTAAAAATATTGTTAATATTGCTTTGAAGTCAAGAATTATGTTGATCTTAATCTAGAAATGATTTTAAATGTTAGAAAACTAACATTTTTTCATCACAAAAAACATTAAACATTTTAACACTAACATTTTTTATGAAAATAAAAAATGTTAGCTCTCTAACATTTTTTATCATCATAGAAAAATGTTAGCTCTCTAACATTTTTTATGATGATAAAAACTTTTAAATGTTTCAATAAGTGTAAAACTGTAAGCAATCATAATTTAATACTACAACTAAATTTTTTATTTGAATCTATAGCTTATAAACTTGATTTTTTAACTCATAAAGTTGATAGTTTATAAATACTATTGTATTATAATATAATAGTTATAAAGAATAATATATAACAAATAATTATAACAAAATAATATTCACACTTTGATGATGAAATAAATATTCAAAAAGACAATACCAAAATTTATTTTCTAAATTTAAAATAATCAAACTAATACAGTTCTATAATTATAAATTTTCTCAAAAGCAATCAGCATTTATTAAATATTATGCTTAATTTAAAACAAAATGCAAACGTTATAATTTTTTTATATATAAACTTCTATCAGTAGAAATGTATAACTAGATTATACATTTCTACTGATAGAAATCTACTACATAGGATACTATACAACTTTACTACATATATGGTAAATTAAATAAAAAAAATCCAAAAGGTAAAAAGAATAATGCTTTAAATAATTGGGTTAATTAATATTAACAGCAATGTACTATTTACAATCTAAATGTTCAAGAAGATCAAATTTTCTTAATAATTTTTCTTTAAATTTTACAGTACAGTTTTCGATGGGGTTTAAATTAAATGTGGTTAAACATGGCCACATCTTAATTATAATTGCATGTTGGCAAATTGTCTTGCTGTGCATGAAAATAAAAAACTTTATTTTTGAAACCAATTAGCCACATTGCACTTCAAAGTTTCTAAATAACTTGCAGAATTGACAGTCTCACCTGTCAATTAAAAATGTTAAAGAAAATTAAATGAAAATAAAAAATCTTCTTAATTTTTAAAGAAAAAATTCAATATCTTTATTTTCATAATGTTGATTCTTGAAGTTTTTATTTATACAGCTGTATTATTTTTTGTACATAAAGCTTCAAAGTAAATTAAGCCTCCAAACCTCAACATACCTGTAAAGTGTGTTGTATGGCAGCTTAGAATGAGCTAAAATTATTTGATGATATGCAGCATCCACAAGGTACAAACAAAAACTTGATCACCTTTTTGTCACAGTAGCTTAATGAAGAGGAATATTTGTTTGATAGAGGATTAGGTTTTTACATTTCACTTTCTGGATGAAGATAATGATGATGATGATGATGATGATGATGATGATGATGATGATGATGATGATGATGATGATGATGATGATGATGATGATGATGATGAGGATAATGATGAGGATGATGGTGATGGTGATGATGATTTAATTTGATTTTTAACATTATATTCAACATTTTAAAAGTATTTTTTCATCTTTATCTTTGTACTTACAATAAAAAAAAAAACAGTTTGTGTTCAGCTGTTTTTATTTAAGTAAATTATTAAGTTTAAACTTGTTTATATTACAACAGAACATTGAAAACTAGCAGAAACATTTGTTTTTAAGTTTCTTTAAATTTAAAGTTATTGTCCAAACCAAGGTCACAGTTTAAATTGTTATACGTTATATAATATGCTTATATTTAAAATTTTAATTCTAATTAATATTGGTATTTAAATTAATATATTTAAATAATTTGATTAACATACTTTAATACTAAATACAAAATCTTAAATTATTATAAATTGTATAAAATATATTTATTAACAATAACATTTTTTTAGATTAAAAAAAAATTTTTTTTTTCAAAAATATAAAGTTTTAATTTATTTTTATTTTATTGATTTCATTTTATTGTTTTAATTATAAAACAACAAAGTTAAAAACAAATGTTTTTAATTTTTAAATTAAAGTTAGTGTGCAAACCAAGATCATAGTTAAGTTGTTATATAATGCTTATATTAAAAATTTTAATTTATTGATATTTAAATTAATATGTTTTAAATAATTTGAATAATGTACTAAATACAAAATCTAAAAGTATTATAAAGTATTATAAAGATTAATTATTTTTTTTTTAATCGTTTTTTTAATATCGTTTTAATTTTTTAATAATTTTATTATTAGGTTGTAAAGAATACGGTATTGGATCCAAGCATGTTTCGGTTATTTAGGCCAGCTCGCATTATAAAGATTTTGCATAAAAGTACAAATATGAGAATTATGCTGTTGACATTTTTTCGTTCAGTTCGAGTACACTTACACTTTTTTTAAATTTTATTAATTACCATGCAAAAATTTACTTATTTGATAATTTCTAAATTTGTTTTGGAGTTAGCGGGATAAAAAAAGAGTATTGATTGAAAAAAGAAAAGTTAAGTAGGAATCAATATACCATAGGAATGGTTAATTACAAAAATAATTAAATAAAAATTGCTTGCCAAAGCAATTTTTATTGAATTATTTTTTTTGTATAAATAAATTTTATAAATTTTAATAAAAGTCAACTATATTAACAAAATTATTTTAATATTACTACTATTTAAATTGAAAGTTATTTTTTTTGTCCATAAATAACTTTTACTTACAGGAGTATATAAAATGAAAAGAAAAAAGCTCATTTAGTAAGTAATTATTAATGAAATTATGAAAGCAACAAACTTATTACAAGCTAACAAAATCAATCAACTTTTTATAGAAGATAATTGTCCAAAGCTCGACTTGACGAAGCCAGTTGACGTCCAAAGCTTGACTTATGTCAACTGTAACTGTCCAAAGCTCGACTTATGTCAACTGTAACTGTCCAAAGCTCGACTTATGTCAACTGTAACTGTCCAAAACTCGACTTATGTCAACTGTAACTGTCCTAAGCTCAACTTATGTCAACTGTAACTGTCCAAAGCTCGACTTATGTCAACTGTAACTGTCCAAAGCTCGACTTATGTCAACTGTAACTGTCCAAAGCTCGACTTATGTCAACTGTAACTGTCCTAAGCTCAACTTATGTCAAGTGTAACTGTCCTAAGCTCAACTTATGTCAACTGTAACTGTCCAAAGCTCGACTTATGTCAACTGTAACTGTCCAAAGCTTGACTTATGTCAACTGTAACTGTCCAAAGCTCGACTTATGTCAACTTTAAGTGGACTAGTGTACTGATTCCTTTCTCCCTCTTTTACAGAATTGTTTAACAGAATAGCTTGCTTTAAATAATTTTTCCCCCTCTCTCTTTTCTCTTTCCCTCTTGCTCTCTTTTCTTGTATTTACTCAAGTAACTGTACCAATTTTTGTGTTGTTCTCTTGTTTATTAAGCAACTTGCTTATCTAGTTGTTTTTTTTGTGTTCTTCTTCAGCATCTTGAAAAGCTTTAGCATCAGATGCTGTCATACTGCAATTGGCTGGCCATTTAATTCTTTCATTTTTTTTCTTTATTGCTAGCCAAAGCTGTTAGTTGATCTATGTGCTTATTTAACCTGTGTGCTTGCTTGTTTGACAACTGAATTTAAAGTATCTATGATTTTTAACAAAAATTCTCAATATGACAATCGGCTGATTTTAGTTGTCTCAGGAATATGGGTTTACATTGTGCAAAACAGTATTAGATATTAATTCTTGAAATAATAAGAAACCATCATCAGCTTTTATAACTTGTAGCACTGTGCCGGTTGCTTTTTTTTAGATGTAATTTTTGAAAGATCTAATGGTTATAAACCGGTACTGATTTTAGCAATACTACACATACTTTTTAGATTTAAAACAATTGTTTTTAAAAATGATGATTATTTCAAATTTAAATTTTTTTTTATCCTTAAGCAAGAAACTGGTTGAGCTTTAAAATTTATTTGTAATTTTCAAATTTTTTTATTCGAATTATAACCTCCCCAAGTCCATGAAGGCCACTACAGCCAAGGAGGCTACTTGAAATAAAAGTTGGAACTATTTTCTTCCACTCGGTTTTAACTGTTTTAAAAACATCAGCGTCTAATGATTGCATAAAATGACTTTTATGAGCTGGCAAACGTCAAAGTATATTATTTTGAAGAACTGATTTTTTTAATTCTAAGCCATCAAGAAATCTTGAAGCCTTCAAGTTAATTTGGATGAGTAAGTTCATTTGGATGAGGCAATCATACTGTTTTAAATGATGCTAGAAAATATTCAGATTCTATCCATCTTGATTCACTCTGTTTTTAAATTTTTGTTATAAAACACATTTTTTGCAATACCTTTGCACCAGTCTTTTATGATTTTTAACTATGTTATTTTGAGAGAAATGTTTATATTTAAATAAGAAAATGAGAACAAAGTAAGAAAAAGAACTTAATTTAATCATTTTTGCCACATCAAGTAAATTACTTGATGTGGCAAAAAGTTATTATAGGCATCACAGCATGTCAGAGTTGTTGTCATTTGTTTATTGCTGATAATTTTAAAAATTTTTATTAGGCCTTTTCTACACATAGTTGACTTTGACATGTCAAAACCAATTTCTCTCGTAAATTTCAAAAGATCAGTAAGAATTACTTCAATGATTTGGTTGGTCTTTCTTGGTGCAACAAAAGCATTTGTTTTATATTTACCTTTAGTTCTATCATGAATTGTCGGTTTTGCCACCATATGATGAGGCTTCTAATAATGTCATTTTTTATTACTAACATCATTAGCAGCTAGCTGTAATAGCTGCTATAACTTATCTTTAGCTGCAACTACTGCTCTTTCTTTTGCTTTTTAGTAACTTAGCAACATGCGTTTCTAGTAAGAGAAAAACAAGCAGTTATGCATAAGCATATACACGTTTATAAAAATTGAAACATTTCTGTCCATTTAATTAAATTTAGTTACATTAATTTCTATTAAAAAAATATGCAATTAACAAGTAGGGGAGATCAGTACCAAAGTTATTTAGTTATAAAAGTACAAAGGTACTTGTACAACTAAGGCAAAAAGTCATTCACTAAAATATTTAAAGCTGGTCAGAAGTCATTTTTATTTTTATTTGTTTTTAAAGTTAAAAGTTTTAAGACTGTGTCAAAAGGTGAAAAATTATAAACTATTTAAGATTTATGTTAATTAAATTTAATAAAACTTTTTATGATTAAATATGCATCCGTTTGTGTTTAAATGTTTTTAAAATAAATTTATTTAAATTTGAGTAACTTAATCATAACTTCAGAATATACTGCAAATCAAAAAAACTTGAAAATTGTGAAGGGATAAGCTTATTATTTATGTATTAGCTAACAAAATGACAAAGTACTGAAATAACATTTAGGTACTGAAATAACTAAATATTTCAGCACAAAAAATATACGTTATGTATAATTATAATTCTGTTTTGAATGCTTTCAAAACTATATTATGCAATAGCATTGAGATTATGTAAATTTCTTTAAAAGTTTAATAATTGTTGCAATTATAATTGTGAATTATCACTTGTATAAAAAAGTTTAATTGCTAAACTTGTTATATTGCATACAAAAGATTTCATTATAGATGACATTGATTGTAAGATACTGACATTGATTTTAATAGGTTTGTAAATTTTATAAAAAAAAGAAATTGCATCTCAAGTTAATTGCATTTTATTTTTTTAACAGATTAGAGTTGATTCAGTTAATAAAGTGAAACAACCACTTAACACTGAAATACCCATTTCATAACAACCTCTGATAATTTGAGTACTTCATGAAGTCCTGAAAAAACTATTTAAAAAAATTAAAGCATTGAAAAAAGAATAGTATTTTTTAATTGGTATTTATCTGAAATTAACCATTCCTACTCTAATTAAAAAATAAGATATTAATATAATTAAATTAAAAAAACTTAATTTACAACTTTGAGTTTGTAACATTTTATTTTACTTTTTAGGCTTTACCATACGTGACAGGATTAATTTTAATATTAAACTATGTTTACGCAGTTCTTGGAATGATGGTGAGGTTAAGATTTTATTTAGGTTTATCAAGTGTATTGTGATATTTTTGATTGTATAACTTAATCAGCCTAAGTTAATGGCTTGCATTTTTATAGCTGCATTTATAATTAAGTTTTTGCAAATATTTAGATGCATGAGTTGTGGTTTTTAAAGCAATAAGCACACCAAGTTTTTTTGTTTGTAAAAGCTAAAATCAATTTTTTTTCTTGTGTAAATGTTAATTTTATAAATTTTTTTTTGTAAAAAACGTTATTCATTTGATGATTGTTATAAAAAAGTTATCCTTTCATTCTTGTTCTATTTTTATTCATTCTTTTACTGTTTAAGCTGTAAACACAAAGCACCTTGTTGAATTCTGATTTATTTGCTTTTATAATGCTTTTTTTATCAAGTACTATATCTGTTGATAAAAAAAACCTAGTTTACTAAGGTCTCTATAACAAATCAAACTTTGACATCAGATTAGTATTATCTTTATGATTGGTTGAAATTTGGACAATATAAATTGCATTTTCTCTATGATTGGTTGAAATTTGGACAATATAAATTGCATTTTCTCTATGATTGGTTGAAATTTGGACAATATAAATTGCATTTTCTCTAAAACTACTTAATCAATTCTAACAATTTTTTTTAAATGATGCATATTTATAAATTTAGTATTTTAAATTTAGCTTTTTTTTAGCAAAAAAAAATTAGCCTAACTTTGCAACATGCAAATAATAATTTTTTTTTATAAAGTAATCGCTATTTAATTTGATTTTGTTAATTTGATCTTTTTTTTGTTGAATTTATTTACAAATCTAAAAATTTTTGAACACTCTTTGCACATTTGCCTCTTTTCCTCAGTATTTCCTTTGCTGTTACCCTGTATAGTTCAATGCCTCGCTTGACAGTTTGGTGGATTAGCATCCTTTAGAACAATATTGACTCTTATACCAATAATCCATTACTTCTTTGGAATAGTGCATCAATGCCAGATCTGGCCAAAACTAAGTTTGTTAATTATGACAGGGAAAAGTTGTTTTTCTTAGCATTTAATCATGTATAGAACTGATGACAACATTTAATTTGATATGAATTGTGAATTTTTCTACTTGAATGTATTTAAATTTTTCTACTTAAATGTAAGATAAAAATAAGAGATAAATGTAAGATAAAAATAAGAGATAATTGTAAGATAAGAGATTTGATTCAAGAGACAAAGCAATATTGTCAGATGCTAAACTTACAATAGATTGTATATCAGGTCAGTAATGATAATTCTAAAAGACCTAAAGTAAGTAAGATCTAAGTACAGGACTCAGTAAGTTTTCATTCATCAATATAGAAATCTCAGTTGATAGTTAGATATATTTAGTTATAGTTGATTGTAAGTAGCTGAGTTTTGTTGGAATTGAAATTCACAATTTGCTGCAAGCCCCAAGCTGTTACAAAAGAGAAATCAGATTCTGATTGATTTTAAAAAGACTTATTGGCCAGGCAGAAATATAAAGTCATTTTAAATGTAAGAATGTCAGGAAGATTATTAATGTTCATAAGAAACAATACAGAATTAAGGATAGAACTTTGCAATACCTCAGAAGTTCGTTCATTGCCTCCATTTAATACACAATACACAGTTTTTTAGTAATAGCAAGTCAGCCGTAGAACAAGAAGACTGAAATCCGTACTGATTTTCAGAGAGTTATTAGACTCAAGATGAGCCAGAAAGTTACAGACTCAAACAACTTACTAATAATCGAGAGAAGACTAATTGCGGTAGTGGTGTAGTGGTAGAGCGCTCGCTTCATAAACAAGTGGTTCCAAGATCGATCCCCACCACGTCCCTGGTAGTACCGCACTCAACTTGTTTCTCCGCGCAGCGGCCTTGTTCATCAAGGTTCGTGTTTCGGAGTTATAGAGTTGAGAGAGGGTTATAACCACAAATAAGTAGCCTCCTCGTCTGTAGTGGCCTTCTCGGCCTTGAGGAGGTGAATTAAAATTAAAAAAAAAAAAAATTAGACAATAGAAGGATACATCAGTGTGCTTGTCAGTTTAGAGTGAACTGAAAAGAGTTCTGGGAAATAGTTTTGTAAGTCTATGACTGGAATTTTGTCTGGAACACAAAATTTTAAATGAGAAAATGACTTAGGCAATAGAATCTGCAGTAATTTGAATGTCTAACAATGGGTTAAACTGTTTGACTGGTATGGCAGGAAGAATATGGTCATTAGATGCAAGAATTGAATTAGAAGAAAAGTTTTTTGCAAATAGTTCTCATTAGGAAAGGTAATAAGATCAGAGCCATGAATTAGATGATTATGAATTAATGACTTAGATGATTATGAATTAGACTTACTTTTGTTGTGACAATGTTGAATTTATACCAAATGTCTCTAGAGCCTAACTTCTGAGACAAGATACAAGATTTAGTAAACTGGCAATAACAAAGTTTAACATCAGACAGCACTTTTTACATGAATTAATTTGCAATAATAAAAAGGCATTTGTTCTCAAGATAAAAGAAAAAAATGACTTTAGTTAGATATAGCTACAAGTAAGAAAGTGAAAGCCATGGAGTAGAGTGAGGTTTAATTTGAAACCAATAAGAGGTTTTGTAGAAGTTACATTAATTAATATAGAGACAAAAGATATTATTCAGCATATAGATCATATTAGGTAGAAAGTAATGATCCAGTATTCATCATCTTAGACAAAGTAATTCAGGATTACATCTACATCAGAAGGTAGACTTAATAGATGGTTTGTGAGACTTAAAAGAGGGGTGCGAGGCACCCCTTTTTCATTTATTAGGTCATTCATCTATTATTGCTATCTTCATCTATTATAGTCAACAGAATTATTTTGCTTACCATTAAGTTTCTTTTTGACGTTTTATAATAATAATAAATCTTATTTTATTCAAATTTATAGACTTTTTATTTTTTTAACTTATCATTGCAAAAAACTCTCTGTTCTACCTGATTTAAACAAAACTACACCTACGCACAAAAAACTATCATTTAAAAAAAACCATGTCAATTTGAAATTTGTCCAAGTTTTTCAATTAATGACAGTGATGTTATTTTTTTTTTTTTAATTTTTTTTTTAATTTTAATTAAGTGCCCCAAGAAGTCCTTACGGTCTTATCACAGAGCACCGCAGGTGAGTATTTAATTGGAAGTTCACGCCTCCTTTGTAACCGATTTTGCAAACTTGCCCTGAGGGTTGAACCACGGATCCTTTATTTCTGAGGCAAGTGCGCTACCACTGCGCCATGGCTGTTCTATTTTGTTTCTGTTCTATTTCTTTAATTATCATTTAAAAATCTTTTTAAATATTTTCTTTTTAGATTTAATGCCATAACTACTTTTTACTTTTTTTAGATTTTTATCTTTTTATCTCAAAATTTCAATAAACAATTAAACATGACTTTTAATCTTATGTTTTTTAACACTTTTTAATATTAAACTGATTATTGTAATCAATTAATTTTAAACAACCTAGAGCCTAGACTAGAAACAAAATAAAGTTATAAAAACTAGAATAGAAACAAAATAAAGTTATAAAAACTAGACTAGAAACAAAATAAAGTTATAAAAAAGTAAACATTTTTTTATTTACATGTATATTTTTTAATTTAATTTTGTATTCAAATAATTTTGTCATCTTTGTACAATAAAAAAAAGTTTTAAAACTGAAAACTGAATTTATTTTTTTTTTATTATTTTTTTATTTATTGTATTTCAATTTTAAATGTTTGCTTTTATTAATTATATTTTTTACATTCAGTTATTTGCAAATATCAAGTTAGATGGAACCGTTTTCCATCAACAAAACAATTTTCGAAGTATTTATGGATCAATTGTACTTTTGTTTAGGTAATTTGTATTTATTTTATTGGTCTTTTTTATTTGTTATTTATACACATTAATAAATGAAAACTCAGTCGCGTCTAGATAGTCACTGACGACTTTGATACTGAAGCCATCTGTAATGACTGAAGTACATTAAATAAGCGATTAGAAAGACAATATTTACGTACTAATGTCATAATTTACTCAAAAAAAGCTTTTATTACCCATAAAATATAACTCAAATATTTTGAATTTAATAGTTAACTTTAAATTTAAGATAGTTTCAGTTTAGATTTAAGGATTTGAGTTTAGATTTAAGGGGGTTTAAATTTAAATTTAAGGTGGTTTGATTTTAATTTGATATGGTTTGAATTTAAATTTATAGTGGTTTGACTAATTTGAGGTGGTTTGAATTTAAATTTAAGGTGGTTTGAGTTTAAGTTTAAGGGGGTTTGAATTTAAATTGATAAATGATATCATTAGGAGTATTGTTTATAGGAATAATGAAAAACTTGTATAATCAATATCTTTACTTCAATAAAAATACTGTAACATATATTAAGTATATTTCAACAAATATAACACTAATTTAATTGCTCAAAAAAACAAAACAAAAAAAACTTAGCAATAAAAATATTAATATAAAATTCAATTTTATACAGTTACAGTTACTGGGGAATAATTCTAAATTTTGTTCCATTGGCTTCATCATTCTTTTGATTTCATTATACAAAGTTTTAAAGATATTTCAGTTCAAATTCTTTTTTTTTTTTTTTCATTTGAGGTAAAATCTATAATATTGTCAAAAAAGCAAACAGTTATTTTAAAGTAGCCTGGGTCTTTATTTTATAAATAACCAATATTTTAAATTGAAAATACAAAAAAAAAATTGTAAAAAAACGCTAAAGACATTAGCTAAACGCTAAAAGCAATTGTAGCAAATGTTACTTAGCAACAATTTAAAACTTTTTAAAACAAACATATATTTTTATATGTTTTGAACTCGAATATCTTTAAACTTGATTTCAAAATTCATAATCAGCATGCTGATTTTATTTCAAGTTAGCATAAAAATCCAATTCAACAGAAAAAAAGTTTGAAATTGTTTTCCAGTGTTGTTTGCATTTATTATTATTCATTCAGCACTGTCAAACTAAATTGTTGATTTTAAAATAAATAAAACTTGTTTTATCTTATTGTGTAAAAAAAAGATAATAGTTATAAGTACCACAAACAAACTGGATACTAAAAACACCTCTAACTTGACAGTGTTCACAAAAAGCTGAAAGGTTTTAAAAATTTATAAGTGCACAAACAAACTGGATACTAAAAACACCACTAATTAGACAGTCCACAAAAAGTTGAAGGGTTTTTTTAAATTTATAAGTACCACAAACAAACTGGATACTAAAAATACCCCTAAATAGATATTCTTCACAAAAAGCTGAAGGTTTTTAAAAATTTATTTGTACCACAAACAAACTGGATACTAAAAACATTACTAACTAGACAGTCTTAAAATTGTCTCTAGAAGCAGACAATTTCAAATTTTATGAAAAAAAATAAATAAATTGATAAATTCAAAAAAAAAATTTTAACAATACTAAAATAAATACATAAAATTAATACAAATAGAAAAAAATTGAAAATGAAAGAAAAAAAAAATTGAAAAAAAAAAAAAAACACGAGCAGAGCATGAATTTTTTAACATTTTATAAAGTAAAAAATATTTTTTTAATATTTTTATATTTTCATGCAAAACAATTCTTCATCTTCTTTTCATGCAAAACAATTCTTCATCTTTTATATACCTTCTTTTCATGCAAAACAATTCTTCATCTTTTATATACCTTCTTAGGAGACTGGGCTCACAGAAATATAAATTGCAACATGTTTTTTCACAACTTTTCTATAAAACTTGCATCTCTGGCTTTCAAAAATATTTGAGGATTTTTTTTTACTTTTTAGACTTTCATTGCAGTTTTTTTTTCTGCTGCTGCAGTTTTAACAAGTGTTTGTTTTAATAATTTTGCATCTTCTTTAAAAATAGTAACCTTGTTTCTTCTTTGAAATCCTGACCAGCCACTATTTTTCTAGTTTTTATTTTTTGCAAATAATCATTTTGGAATTATGATTTTTCTAGAAAGCTATTTAAGACTATTTAAGGAATTATAATTGTTCAAGAAAGCTATTTAGGACTGATTTTCAGAGAAGTTAAGTAACTCCATGTCAAATGACCCAGAAATTTTTAAAAATGCAACCATATATCTCTGGTTTTATTGATTTTTAAACAGTTAAGGTTACTTAGTAAAATAAGAATACCAGACTTCTGTTTATTTAGAAGTTTTAAGTCACATAAATTTAAAAATATTTGATCTTTTTACTTAAAAATTTATATCTAGCCATTTTTAAGGTGGTAAGAATCCAATAAAAGTGATCAGAAATTTAAAATATTACTATTAAGTACCAGTAATTATAAATTTAAATAAACTTAGTCAATTTTTTATATACCTGTTTTTAATGCTCAAACCCATGTGGCCTAGATAATATCAAAAACAAAAAAACAAAAAAATTACCTATCATTCTATATTCATTGAACTTTCAGAAAAAGTAAGAATTTTAATCTGCAAGTATATGGTCTTCCATATAAGGGTAACAGGGCACAGGGTTGGCAAAAACCCGGGTTTTTTTAAAAAAACCCGGCCCAGTGGGTTTTTTTGGGTAATTTTGGGTTTTATTGGGTAAATTTGGGTTTTTTTGGGTTTTATTTTTATTTCGTCTCTAAAAAAATGTTTTGTTTTTTTGTGTAATGATATTGAAAATTAGTTTCATTTTCTGCTTTAACTTTATTTAAAATATATTTTATATATTGTTATTTAATAATTTATAACAAGAATTTTTCAAATTATTTTAAAAAAGATTTTTAATTATAATTTAAAACTGTAAGAAAAAAAAATTTTCACATTAAATCTATATGTATTGATTTATTTTAAATTTAAAGTATTAATCTATATAATTAAAAATGTCAATGAGAAATGGGAAAAAGAAGGCTAGAGAATGGGAGGTAGTAACTGAAGTTTTAATTAAACTTTGAACTTGAAATTCAAATGAACAAACTTGTTTCTCCACACAGCGGCCTTGTTTATAAAGATTTGTGTTTAGGAGTTTAGGAGTTGAGAGAGAGAGTTGAAACCACAATAACTTAACCTCCTCGACTGTAGTGGGTTTCTCTGGCCACTACTACTCATTCACCTTAGGAGGTGAATAACATAAAAGATTAAAAAATCTCCATCGATAAAAATATTTGCATAAAAATTGTAATAATGTATTTCCAAATAATGATTCAAATATTAGTAAACCTGCTCTGATAGCTGTTATTGTTGGTTATAATAGTTAATAATAATAGTTAATAATAATTTAGTTAATAATAATAGTTAATAATTATTTTAGTTAATAATATTATAGTTATAATGTTAAAGTTGGTTAAAATAGTTCATAAACTTATTAAATATCGTAAAAAAACCTAATAAAACCCAGATTTCCCCGGGTTTTTTTGGGTTTTTTTAGGGGGGTTTTATTGGGTTTTATTGGGCGGGTTTTATTGGGCGGGTTTTTTAATGCCAACCCTGACAGGGCATGGTTACCACTTTTTTGTAGTGAAGTATTGTGATTGATTTTTTACTACTTTCAGACTAGTTAGAGCTCTTAGACTTTCAGCATTTGTGTAGATCCAATGAACGTGTATGTTAAAATTATTTCCAGCGCCTAAGATATTGGTGGGGGGCCAGGGCATGTGTCCTTTTTTAAAGCGGAACCTTGTGATAGATTTTTCACTACGTTCTAGACAAAATTGATGCTCTGAAACTTTCAGCATTTTTTTAAAGTAAAAAGATCAAATACTTTTAAGTTAACACTTAAAACCTCTAAATAAATGTCAAGATTCTGAGAGGACAAGAAAGGCCTGCCAGAGGAAAAAATTTTACAAGAATTCTTACTTTACTAAGTACTCTGAACTGTATAAAAGTTAGTAAAATCTAAGATGTATGGTGACGTGGTCTGGGTCAATTGTCATGGAATAGCCCAGTTTTTTTTTAAAAAATTTCAGTTCACCTCCCCAAGGCCATGAAGGCCACCACATTCGAAGAGGCTATTTTAGTTGTGGTTACAACCCTCTCTCAACTTTATTACTACAAAATAGGAACCTTGACAAACAAGGCCGCTGTGTGGAGAAATAAGTTGAACCAAATAGTCAATTAATCTTGAAAAGTTAAACTTAATGTTTGATTTTGAAGCAACTACACATCTATGTGATGAAAATATATTTTTAGATAAATTGCTGAAGCCATATTCAACATTAAAATTTGCTTAAAATATTACATCAAATATCTTTAATTTGACAAAATACATCAACATCAAGAGGCTGCAGAATGTGAGATGAACAAGCAGGAATTGAAAATTGAAGAAATAATGTAGCTTTATTAGCAATTGCAATCCCGGAATCCCGAAATTCTGGCTTTTTTTATAATCCTGAAAGCTCAGGAATTTTCTAAAATTAATCCTGGAACCCCCTATAAGATTGAACAAAACCAAGCATAATGAAAAAATATATAAAAATAACAACAATTTATGTGTCCTAATATAATAATTTAAAAATAGTATAACATTGCAGAAAATAATTGTATTTTTAGTTACACCATAACAAAAATTATCAAAAAGGTTTAGTGGGAAAAAAAGTGAAAGTCTTTACAATATATCATACTGGTTAGTTATTCTGTTCTGAAAGAAAAAAGCCATACAGCCATGTTTAAATTGCCAAACTGTAAAGAGATTTTCAAAATTGGAGGTGGTTCAACAAAATGATTTCATATACACACATTGTTAGTACATAATGTGAAGGTCAAAAGTCCAACATTATTATCGAAGAAAGCGCATCAGAAAAAAACCACCAAAAAAGAAATTTAAACCACTAAGAGAATACTTTTCCATTTATGAAAGATAAATGGAAAAGTATTCTCTGAAAGATA